TCCCTGCTCCACAGGAAGTCTGCTTCTCCCTCTCCCGCTCCCCCCTCTTGTGCTCTCTCTCTCTCTCACTCTCTCTCTCAAATAAATTTTAAAAATCTTTAAAAAAAAAAAAGTCATGTATTAGAGCAAAGAAGTAAGAAATTTCTCATCAGGGTATTAAGGTAGTGGTCTTCCTATATGTCTGTACATTTATTAGGCCTTCTAGATACTTAAATATAAATTTTGTTTTAACAGGAGATACCTAGGTTGTGGCAAAGCCATGAAATGGTATAATTTGCCTGAAAGCTGAGAGTAAGCTCAGTTCTAATCTAGGCCCTGGGCGAGCATTTGTGAAGCCATCTTAAACTGAGTTGTTGTTCTCTCTTTTCCAGCCGAACTGTCCCAAACAATAAACAGCGGTACATTATCAAAACCATCCCCCCCCTTACCACCTAAGAGAGGCATTCCATCAACCTTGGTACCCGCCTCGGAGTCTGCAGCTGCCACCACCACAAAAGCACCGAGTGATCAGAGAGAAAGGAACACATGCTCTGTGGGCTCTGAACCACTGTTGATGATCCCACCTCCCTCTCCATCCCCGCCACTGCCTACTCATATACCTCCCGAACCCCCACGGTCCCCTCCATTCCTTGCTAAGACTTTTCAAGTTGTGCCAGAAAATGAGTTCCCACCTTCCTTAAACCTGTGCCAGGAGGTATCCCAGCAGGAAGATCAGAAAAAGGAAGTACCCAAGAGGATGTTGGACCACAGCTTTGGGGAGCCGCATGTGCCCTGTAGGCTGCCTCCACTCCCACTGCATATCCGAATCCAGCAGGCCCTGACCAGCCCACTTCCTGTGACTCCTCCCTTGGAGGGCTCTCACAGAGCTCATTCCTTGCTTTTTGAGTACAGTGACAACTTTTCTGAGGACAGCAGCACCCTGGGTCGGACCAGGTCACTTCCCGTCACTATTGAAATGCTGAAAGTGTGAGTGCCTTTAAAGCTTGCCTTTTGTTTCCTCTTCTGTATTCTAGGTAGCCTTTCTTGGAAAAAATTATTGATGAAAAGAAAATGTGATTAAATTTAAAGTAAGAATACACAACAAATAAAGACATGTTCTAGAAGTTGGACTTTATTTACCCTCCTGATTTTTATAACACAGTTTCCATAGCAGTCACAAGCCTTTGTACTTGATAATTAAAACTACTCTATTTTTTGTATATGATACAAGGGAGTCAGTGTAACATGGTGCTTAAGAGCATTAACCTTGGAGTAAGATAACTCTGGGTTCAAATCCCAGCTCTACCTCTTACTTCCTAGCTTGCAGTAGTGTATGTTACTTAACCTTCCTGCGCTTGAGTTGTCGGATCCATAAACAGGGATGATACCTACCTCATAGGCTCGTGAGGATGAAATTAGACAAATCTGAAAGCATGGTGCCTGGCACGTAAACACGGTAGAGAGGGACAGAGAGCAGTCTAGAGAAAAAGAAGGGAGCTCTGAAAGTCAGTGTTCCAGCCTCATAAACTGGAACTGGCCAGCTTGTTCTCACCCTCATCTGTCCCGAACACCTTGCCTTTTTAAAATTCTAACAAATTGTGACTGAAGGTTAACACTTTTTGGCAAGTTGGAGATTTGCCAGAGATTTGCAAGTTGGAGAATTGTTAGAGAGTTGTTGCCACATACTGCTTAGTTGCTTGGCCATGATCTTTGTACTTGCCGGTATTAATTTTTTTTACATCCTGGAAAGAGACAGTTTAGGAGTTCCAGATGGACTTAAGTCACAGTTTTATACCTCCAGAGTGGAAAGGGGGGAAGAATGTCATCTCTCTTTGCTTCTTGGATTAGATTATCATTTTGTCCTACCCCGTTGTTAAACCAAGGGAAATAAGTGGGCTAAATATCTTTATTACATATCTTCCATAAGCCAGGCACAGTGTTAGATGCTGTGTGGTCTTCTCATTTAATCAGCCCAAAACAAACTTGCATCTCACATGTAGATCATCAGGGGCCTGTGTGCGAAACACTAGTACATTCTAGAATTTATCTATTTTATTCTCACAACAAGCCTAGCAGGTAGGTATCATTCACATTTACAGAAAAGTTAAATAACTTATAAGCTAGTGAGTAAGTTGTAGAGCTAGGATTTGAGTCCAGAGCCTTTTAGATTAATAGCTGCTAAAAAGTTTCTTAGCAAGATGCTTAAAGTTAAGGGAAGGGATAAATTATTTCACTCGTGGAATTTTCCATAGTTATTCAGTACTTTGCCTTGCAAATGAGTTACCCGTTATGTTTCTGAAAGGAAAATATAATTATGTTAATTTGTTAGTCCAGACGATGAAGAAGAAGAGGAACAAAGCCACCCATCTGCATTCATTGAAGATGCGGCATCTACCTCAGTTGTTCCTGAACTACCACAGTGTCTGCAGGAGGAAGAGGAAGAGAAGGAGAGTGACTCTGATTCAGAAGGTCCCATTCAATACCGAGATGAAGAGGATGAAGATGAGAGCCATCATAGTAAGAAAGGGAAAAGCAAAGGAGAAAATTATTTTATCGATAAAGCGACTTCCTGGTGTTAACAAGTGTAAGATAAATGGGAACAGTCACCCTCTCCCATCGAGTCATCTGGCTAACTGATATTGGAAGCCATTGTGATAGAGCCTTGTCCCTGTTATTCCCATTGTTCTGACGAGCTGGTGAGAGCAAGCCAAGTAGATTGAGTCATGCAGGGTTTTGTTTTCTTTTTAAGATTTATTTATTTTAGAGAGAGCATGCAGGGAGAGGGAGAGAATCTCAAGCAGACTTTTTCTGAGTGCAGAGCCTGATGCGGGGCTCAATCCCACAACCCTGAGATCATGACCTGAACCGAAATCAAGAGTTGGACACTTAACCAACTGAGCCACCCAGGCACCCAGAGTCATGCAGATTTTTATCTCTTTGTGATCAAAGAATTATTCACCTTGATGGTATTAAAGAATTTGGAGTAGAAGAAAGTTGATATTGGGGCTGTGTTAAAAAGATATAGGGATGCTCTCCTTTAGTCTCATGAACTTACTGTGTCCATGGGGCAAAGAAAAAAAACCATGTTTATGTACATAGATCTGCAGATAATGGAATCCTGATTCCTCCAAGTGGGAAGGCAGCTTTAAGAATAGGAATCTTGGGGCGCCTGGGTGGCTCAGTTGGTTAAGCGTCTGCCTTCGGCTCAGGTCATGATCCCAGGGTCTTGGGATCAAGCCCCATGTAGGGCTCCGTGCTCAGCGGGGAGTCTGCTTCTCCCTCTGCTGCTCCCCCTGCTTGTGCTCTCCTCTCCCTCTCTGTCTCTCAAATAAATAAATAAAATCTTAAAAAAAAAAAAAAAAGAATAGGAATCTTGGGGCTCCTGTCTGGTTCAGTTGGTAAAGCATGTGACTCTTGATCTCAGGGTCATGAGTTCAAGCCCCACATTGGGCATAGAGCCTATTTAAAAAAAAAAAAAAAGTAGGAATCTTACGAAATGTATTAGTGCAAATGCCTTTATGTTGTCATTCAGAGGGCTGTCCCATGTTTAGATTCCCTCTCCTCTAGCAACTCTTACTTAGAAGAAATGTAGAGGAATATAGAAGGGAGACGATATCTTTGGGCCAGCTGAGTCCATCTGACTTAATTAGATTTTTAGACATCTTCTGCTTTACCCCCACCTCTCCGTTAGCTGGGAGATGCGATACTGTTTGTTCAGACTCCTGCCTAGTTCCGGGTGAGGTTGAGCCTTAGCGTCTACTTTTTTTTCTTTCCCTTACACAAAGGTGCTCTGGCCAACAAAGTGAAGAGGAAGGACACACTGGCAATGAAGTTGAACCACAGACTCAGTGAACCAGAGTTGAACATGAATTCTTGGCCTCGGAAAAGCAAAGAGGAATGGAATGAAATACGGCACCAGATTGGGAACACACTGATCCGGTAAGCCTTGGCTTAGAAAAGACTGATTTGATTTGATTTTGCCATTAGGTGTGTTAGAGACTTACTTTGTGGTGGAGCATTCACTTTTATCTTTTTTCTTTTTTAATTTTTAGAAACCACATAATTTTTAAAAATACACATTCTACACAGTTGGGTATCCTCTAGGAATTTGGAAATTAAGGAACCAAATGACTCTTGGAGCTTTAAACCATGCAATAGACATATTTCACAGCTTTACCCCACAAGATAGACATAAATATGGCTTTTATTTGATTTGATTTTTTTAAAGATTTTATTTATTTATTTATTTGAGAGAGAGACAGAGCATGAGCGGGGGATAGGGGCAGAGATAGAGGAACAATCGGACTCTCCGCTGAGCAGAGAGCCTGACTCAGAGCTCCATCCCAGGAACCCAAGATCATGACCTGAGCTAAAGGCAGATGCTTACCCAACTGAGCCACCCAGGTGCCCCTAAATAGTGCTTTTAAAAAGTTTCTAAAGAGGCTGGCTGAGTCAGTGGAGCATGTGACTCTTGATCTGGGAGTGGTGAGTTCAAGCCCCACATTGGGCATAGAGTTTACTTTAAAAAAATTTTTTTTTAAGTTTCTAGAGAATTCACCCGCTTCCCAGGACAGCAAGACTCCTCTGTCATTTATCCAGTTGCTCAACTACGAGGTGCCAACCCAATTAAAGATCACACTCATATTTTCCATTGTATCTATTTCACATGTCCCAAGTAACTGCCTTCTTTCAAAGTGTTAGTATATTTTTCTTTCCTTTTTTTTTTTTTAAAGATTTTATTTATTTATTTGACAGAGAGAAACACAGCGAGAGAGGGAACACAAGCAGGGACAGTAGGAGAGGGAGAAGCAGGCTTCCCGCGACTGAGCCACCCAGGCGCCCTAAAGTGTTAGTATATTTTTCAAGTCAGCTGAAAACAAAAGCATAGAGAAGCTGAATACAGGCCAGCTTCCTACACATGTCATCTACATAGAGTCCAGGTATGTAGATGGGTGTTTGAACCACTCAGATGTTTCTTTTGGTAGAGTGAGGAAAAGGAAGTGGAACTCTTGGCATATTCTTAACAAAATAATTAACTTAGGATGTCCATTAATTAAGACATATTCTCCTTTGCTGCCTCAGACACCTGTCTTTACTGTTGGCCAGGATAGCAATCTTTTTTTTTTTTTTTAAGATTTTATTTATTTATTTTTGACAGAGAGAGACACAGCAAGAGAGGGTACACAAGCAGGGAGGGTGGGAGAGGAAGAAGCAGGCTCCCCGCTAAGCAGGGAGCCCAATGCGGGGCTCGATCCTAGGACCCTGGGACCATGACCAAGCCGAAGGCAGACGCTTAACAAATGAGCCACCCAGGCGCCCCCAGGATAGCAATCTTAATGAAGAACTGTGGCCCTCTGAGTATCAGCCAGAGAGCATCAAGGATAGAAATTAGTTAAGAATGGGAATCTTTGGTAGTAGATTTATTTTTCTTTCACTGCAGAGCTAGTTGCTCATCTTTGAGTGTTGTTTCATGAGTCATAGTCTTCTTAGAAGAATTTGTTGGACACCAGCAATGAACAGTCTGAAATTGGAACCTAAAAATACAACAGATTAACATTTACAATAGCAATTAACAGTAGCTTCAGACATCTTTAAATATTTACAGATAAATCTGACAAAAGATTGTGTAAGACTTGTACACTGCAAAGTATAAAATAATGCTTAAGAAAGTAGAGTTAAGGGCGCCTGGGTGGCTCAGTTGGTTAAGCGACTGCCTTCGGCTCAGGTCATGATCCTGGAGTCCCAGGATCGAGTCCCGCATCGGGCTCCCTGCTCGGCAGGGAGTCTGCTTCTCCCTCTGATGCTCCTCCCTCTCATGCTCTCTGTCTCTCATTCTCTCTCTCTCAAATAAATAAATAAAATCTTTAAAAAAAAAAAAAGTAGAGTTAAATAAATAAAAATACCATAGTCATGGGTCAGAAGTGTCAAGTATTATTAAGATATCAATACATGCAATTCCAATCAAACTACCCCCCCCAGAAGGCTTTTTTTAATTGGCAAGCTGATTTTAAAATTCTTATGGAAATACAAAGTACACTAGAATAACCAAAGCAACTAAGGAAAAGACAGAGTTGGAGGACTAACAATCTGATTGAAGACGTATTAGAAAGCTAAAGTAACCCTAATCAGTATGGTGTTGACATAAAGATAAACAGAACAGAAAAGAGAGTCCAGAAATATACCCACCCATATATGTACAGCCCATTTCTGACAAAGGTACAAAGATAATTTCATGGTCTTTTCAACAAACAGTGCTGGCACAAAAATTACTTCAATTCCTATCCTTGCATCCCATGCAAAAAATTAATTCAAAATGAATCCTAGGTTTAAATATGAGATCCAAAACTACAAGACTTCTAGAAGAATATGAGTTGGACAAAGATTTCTCAGATATCTCAAAAGCATGATTCTTAAGAGGAAAACATTGATAAATTGCACTTCAGAAAAAATTAAACATTTTTGGGGTGCCTGGGTGGCTCAGTCAGTTAAGCATCTGCCTTCGGCTTAGGTCCTGATCCTGAGGGTCCTAGGATCGAGTCCCACATTGGGCTCCCTGCTCAGTGGGGAGCCTGTTCCTCCCTCTCCCTCTGCCCCTCCCTGCTCTTATGCTCTCTCTCTCTCTCTCACTTGCTCACTCTCTGTCTCTCAAATAAATAAAATCTTTAAAAAATTTTTTTAACCATTTTTGTTCTTTGAAAGACACTGAAGAGAATGTAAAAACAAGCCACAAACTGGGAGAAAGTATTTGCGAACCATGTATCCGATCAAGGTCTTATATCTAGAATATATGAAGAACTCTCCAAACTTAATAAGAAAACAACAACCCACTTTTTATATAGTGGGGAGCAGAAGATTTCAAAGAAGATATATAGATGGCAAATAAGCATATGGAAAGATGCTCAACATCATTAGTCATTAGGGAAATGCAAATTAAAACCACAGTGAGATGCCACTACAGACTCACTGGGCTGGCTGAAAAGGTACACTTTAAAAGACAAGAGTTGCGGGCACCTGGGTGGCTCAGTTGGTTAAGCGTCTGCCTTCGGCTCAGGTCATGATCCTGGAGTCCCTGGATCGAGTCCCGCAGTGGGCTCCCTGCTCAGCAGGGAGTCAGCTTCTCCCTCTGACCCTCCCCCCTCTCATGCTCTATCTCATTCTCTCTCTCAAATAAATAAATAAAATCTTAAAAAAAAAAAGAAATAAATAAAAAACAAGAGTTGCTAAGGATGAGGAGCAGCTGGATTCTCATACACTGGTGGAAGGAATGTAAAATAGTAGAACTACTTTGGAAAATACTTTGGAAGTTTCCTTAAAAAAAAATCAAAACGGGCGCCTGGGTGGCTCAGTTGGTTGAGCGACTGCCTTCGGCTCAGGTCATGATCCTGGAGTCCCTGGATCGAGTCCCGCATCGGGCTCCCTGCT